TCTTCTTCTGCTGTACGGGTCTGGCATCCGGCCGTACGGCGAGTCTGTGGCAGATGAGGTTGGGGTCTATCCCGGGCATGTCCTCCGGCCCTCTGGCAAATAGGACTTTGAACTTCCGGAGGACAGCTATGACCCCTTCCTTGATCTTAGGTTCGAGGTCGGCGCCGATGGACACCTTCCTGTCCGAGGGGTCATCCAGCTCCACTTCCTCGAGCAGGGCAGCAGGTTCCAGACGAGCGTCGAAGTCAGCCTGCCTGGCTTTCTCAGTGATGTTGTTGACCCGTGCTTCTCGCTCTCTGAACCTCTCCATGGCCTTGGTGTAGCAGGCCCTGGCCATGTGCGGATCCGTGCGGGCGACCCCCACCCCTGTCTCGGTGGGGAATTTGATGCATGAGTGCCGCACGGAGCAGATGGCCTCAAGATCCTCCAAGCCGGGCCGGCCCAAAATTGCGTTGTGAGCACATTTTAGGCGGACCACGACGAACGTCATCCGGATGCGGGTGGTGTGAGGTCCATCCCCGATCTCAACGGGGAGGCCGATGGTACCCTCCGCATCGATGCAGTCCCCTGTGAAGCCAGAAAGAGGGGTACGTAGGGGGGCCAGCTGGTCCTTCCTCAACTTCATTCCCTCGAATGCCTCCCAGTAGAGGACGTTCACGCTGCTGCCCGTATCAACAAGGACGCGTCGGACGATCGCATTGTTGACATCCATGCTGATCACCAACTCATCCCTGTGGGGGGCCGGTGACATCGGCAGGTCGGCCGGCCCAAAGGTGATGGCCCCTACCTTGTTCTTTTTGGCGGGGGGTGCTGATATGGAGCCCACATAGAGGGACCTCTCAAACTTCTTTCGTTCCGCAGGCGTGTCCCCAGTCTCTGCGCCCCCGAAGATTACTTTGATCTCCAGCTTCTTCTTTCCGCCGTCCGGGCCGAGGGACCCCTCCGGACGTTTATCAGCACTCCGATAGTCTACGTCCTTTGGTTCCGCCTCGCGCCGGTCGTCGCGGCGCCATGATCGCGATCTCGGGTTCGGCTGCCTCGGGCTATTCTTCTTCAGTAGTTGGGTGAACTCGCCCAGGTAGCCCTGCCGGACCAGCTCGTCGATGGCCATTCTCAGCTGTCTGCAGTTGTCGGTGAGGTGGCCGACCCTCTGGTGGTACTCGCAATATGCGGTCTCATCGTGACCCATAAGGGCCTTCTTGTCTTGGGGCTCCCTTAGGATGCCCTTGTCTTTGATTGCGTCAAAAATCTGACTGACGGGGTAGGCCAGAGGGACGTGATATTCCTCCGGTCGTACGCGGCTGGCCTCCGGATGAGCCTTCCATGGGACCATGCCGCCGTCCGTCTTCTTCTTTTTGCTCGGGGGGGATGGCCCGCCTCCGGGACCGAGCCTATCCGCCAATTTCCGGGAGGGGGCGGCAGGCGCGCCGTCCCTCATTCTGATCTCCTCCTCAATGGAGGCGTACTTCTGTGCCCGAGCCAGCACCTCGGTATAGCTGGTGCTGGGGTTCCTCCGAAGGTCCCGGTACAGGTCCCCTGTTGCTAGAGCGCTGGTGAACATGTTCACCCCCAGCCGCTCGTCCAGGTCATCCACCTGAAGCACTTCATCTCTCCACCTGACCAGGAATTGGGCCAGAGGTTCGTCCTTCCCCTGCTTCACACTTGTGAGCGATGTGAAGCTCTTCTTGGGGGTGGTGCTGGCAGCGAATTGTGCCATGAACTGCTGGGACAGCTGTTCATAATTATCAATGGATCCGGGCCTCAGCTGCCCGAACCATTCTTGTGCCGGACCCCTCAGGGTGCTGAAGAAGAGCCGGCAGATGGCCTCATCAGATGCCCCCAGCATAGAGAGGTTCCCCTGGAAGCTGATCAGGTGAGCCTTAGGATCTCCGGTCCCGTTGTATACTATTCCCTGAGGGGGTCTGCAGTCCCGCGAAATCTCCGCATTCATGACCCTCGGGGTGAAAGGTGAAGTGAGGGAAAAACGCGGCGTGGCTGGGGTGGCCTCCGCCCGTCTATCCATCGCGGCTAATCGCCGCTCCATTGCCTCTAGCCGGGCCTCCTGTGCGGCCCTTCCGGGGGACACAGGAGGGGCGGCCTCGAGCGCAACGTTCCTTCGTGGGGCAACCGCGTCGGGTTGCCTTCGTGTGATGTGGGCGCCATGTCTTTGGAAACGTCGTCCAATGTTACTGGCGGCGGGGGTAATGACAGTGCCCCGCTGTTCGGAGGGAACATCCGGCGTGCGTCCCCGGTGGTCATCTTGCCAACCATAGCGGGGTGTGCTGGCGCTGGTGTGCTCCCCAGCTCCATGGGAAGACGGATTCTGGCCCAACCTCATGTGGACGGGTGTCCGGCGCCCGGCAGATTCCGCTGTCTCATCCAGGGTCTGCATGCGGTGGACAGGCGATATGGGCGTCCAGATGGTGTTGGCTGAATGCACCTCTTCGTTCGCCTCCTGTTCATCCGCCATTCGGCGCATTGTTTCCGCCAGTTCCCTCATGAGTCGAGGGTCATGCCTGGCTTCATGGGGGATGAGGTTTGTGAGGCCACCCCCACCCCTAGTCGTCCCCAACGTCTCGGAGCGTTCCGTGGTTTGCCCGCGGTTGCTTCGTCCGCGGGACAACTGCTCGGAGAGATCGCGTTGGCGGTTGTTTCCTGTCATCGTGCTTGCTCTGGGCAGATTTAGTAGCTGTTTGGGGAGAGTTTTTTGGAAACTTTTAGTTCAGTTTCCCACAGACGGCGCCAGTGTTGAGGTTTATTCCTTCAACCTTCAGGCCCAACACGTAAGCCTAAAGATTTCGAGCGGAGTGCGTGCGAATAACTAGCCCAACAAGCAGATGATAAGGGTCAAGAAACAATAAGGTAGCAAGTACGTGATTAGGTATTATTATCTCTTAATAACTCCCTAATACAATACTTTCGCTAAGGCTCCGTCGGCCGTTCGTCTCACAAGGCAGTAGAAGTGCTGCGAGTAAGAATGCTATAGCTAGTGCTAAGAATAGAAAGTTGCCAACCCTTTACAATGAAATAAATGCTTCTATTTATACCCGCCAATGGGCAGGTGGCTATGCTGACGTGGAGGCCTGCGGACCGCTTGTGTCCCAACCACCAAATCTTCTGCATTAAATGCACTTCCCGCCAGAATCTAGGCTTCCCGCCTAAATAATGGGGACGTTCGTCCGCCAGGGGTGAGTTGGGTCACTCCAAGTGACCTTCAGGAGACTTCGGCTGTTCGTCCCCTGACCTTGTGGATTCTCTCCATGTGGACTGGATCTCTTCCGACGATCATGGGCCTGCCCAGGAGACGTTCGTCGTCATCCCTGATGGCCAGTGATCCTGCCCCTTGCCTCTGCACGGGCGTTCGTCGTGATGGGCCGTTTGAACCTGGGCCCCCCAATTCCGGACGTTCGTCTCTTCCCAAGGGTCCTGGGTCTGCGCCCAGCCTGGTCCTAGCTTGATGTGCGTCCGATAGAAAAAAGGGGGTTAATGGGCCGGACCTCGGCCTGGGCCATTATCCCAACAAAATCATTTAGTCAATTCAGTGTGGTTTGTGAAGTTTATTGTTTCCTCCAGCTTTCCACAAATGTTTAAAGAACTATTTCCATATCCAACTTCACAGAAAGATCCTTGAAACAACTCTTTGTCAAAAATAGAAAGTCATTTTTTCTATAACTAAAAAGTGTGTAATCCAACCGTTCTAACTTGGTTAAGACTTCCGCTATGCATTCTATTACCTCTCAAAAGGTTTAGAATAAACTCTAAAAGAGGGATTTTTTTTTATAAAGCGAAAAAGTTTTAAAAGTCGATTCACCCCCCTCTAGACTTTCACCTCACCAGGGACCATCTATCAAAGAGTATACGCCATCTTCTTCATTCTTACTCTTTTCTGATTGTTTTTTTCCTTATATTTTATTTTTTTTCCCAATTTGTTTTTTCACAAAGACTTTTTCTCGTAATTGATGTGATTAATGGATAAATTTACTTCGAAAATTATGATGACGTAGAAAGGAGAAACAAATATATTGATGACGAAATTAAGATAACAAGAAGAGAGAACAAACACAAAATAAGTAACAAGAAGGGGGGGGGGGTGAAAATAAAAAGAAAATATAACAAAAGTAGAATGGGAAAAAATCTTTTATTATAAGAAAGTGATTAAGAAGAGAAATACATAAACATGGAGAAAAAATAAAAAATATGGGAAGGATAAGAAAATGGAGAGAGATTTGTCCGGGAAGGGAATTTTGCAAAAAAAAAAAATACTCTTCAAATAAAGTGACAAATAGAATACATAAATTAAAAAAAGATTTAAAAAAGATAAAAACAAGTATCCAGGGATAAAAATAAAGATAGAAAAATATCAGAGAGGAAAAAGAAAAAATGAAACATGAGACTATTATGAGAAGATTTGTGAAAGGTGAGATTACTTATGTAATGTTTCTAAAGAAAATATAAAAAACCTGTTATAGCATATTATCAACCGATCAGACAGCAATGGAAGATAAAAGAGTGCAAATATGAGATTAAAAATTGATTTTTAATGCCCCATATTTTACTAGTGTAGACGTGTAGTACTATACTAGGTCTATTAAAAATTGATTTTTATAGATTTGTGATTTTGTTCCCTGCCTCCCCTTTTCGTCATTAACTCATTTAGAAACCCCAGAATCAAAAGATGGGAAGGCAGTCAACAACAAATGTTCATCAGTCTCCAAGTTTTTTTTGAAAGGAATAAGTGAAAAACAACTACTCCCTCCGGTTCTAAATAAACTTCACACTTTCCTTTTTGGGACGGTCCAAAATAAACTTCACACTTCCTTATTTCCTTATTTGGCAAAGAAATCTACATCAAAACAGTGTAAAACAGTGTAAAACAGTGCTAAACAGTGCCAAACAGTGCCTCAACAGTGCCAAACAGTGTCTCAATAGTGTACTCTACAGTAAAGTCAACTTTATTTCCTTAATAACTGTGAAGTCAAACACTGAAGTTTAAAAAGAACCGGAGGGAGTATATTGATATAATTAGAATCACGATCGTTACATCAATCTCAAAATGACCAGCCAGAACTGACAAAAACCTTCACCTTCCAATTACTACTATTAGCCCTACGATTAGACATTGAAACGATCATCCCTAAAGGAGCAAAACGAATCGCTAACCACCACACGGGCTTAATGCAGCTATTGATGGACAAATAGATCCGTCCCCCACTAACAATATCAAAGGTAGTTGAACCCTCCATTTCTTGGCCAAAGTACCGCACTAGCACCGCCAGTCCAAACGCGAACAGTCTCCAGATCCCTATCATCTCCCCTGTGCTGCAGTTGAAATTCGCCAAGATCCTTCGAGCCCGAATACTCCCGCGCCCCATCCTGTGCTTCAGATGAGGAAAACTAGCAAAACTCCAAGACACTGAAGTGCCAAGAAAGATATAGCGCCGCCCGCCGAAAACCCTAGATTGCTAGGACCGCCGCCGCCGTTAACTCGAAACTGCGTTTACATGTGATGAAGCCGAAGGATCAAAACTCGGTGATGGTGATGCTCCAGACCATGCCTCAGTCTCCAAGTATGTTTTTTTGAAGGGAGTCTCCAAGTTTTTTTTTTGAAGGGAGTCTCCAAGTTTTTATTAAACGGTATTTCCTTACTTAATTTTCTATTGTAATGAATTTGAGTTCTTAAATAAATCACCAATGCAAGCTTCACCTTCATGAAATTGTGACGATTTAATTTCTTCCACAACTAGATTTAGGGCCTCTTATTCCATTTTGAGGTGGGCCTTTGATAAATCAGTGCCGGCCCTGATTGTTTAATTAAAAAACAGAAGTAGTTATTATATACGAAGTACTTTCTATAGAAATGAATTAATTGGATGCATTTTCAAAAAAGGTCTTACATAAAAATTACTTCATTCATCTCATACGATATTCCATTATTGACCTTTTTGATGAGCAATGTTCAATTTCAACCAATATATTGTATATTTTATAGAAAATTACTTATAATATGAAAGTGGATAAAAACGTCTTTTGCAAAAAAAAAATCCGTAAAATGTTCCATTTAAATATATGAATTATAGGATATGATATTGGTCAAATTTAATTCAAAGAAGTAAAATATGGTAATAATCCTTGATGGAAGGGAGTGTGTTATATTTCAGTCTTATTTGTATTTCTTTCCATAAAATATAAAGAGACGGTAAAGCCACTCCATTGATTGTGTGGTCGTCTTATTATTTCCAACACTGGTCTTATGTTTCAACTGAAGCATGTGGTTTGTAGAAACTGGTCGAGTGAAATATGATTCCAGGCCATGCAGTCCGCAAGAAAACCGGGCTTGTCGTCCAAATAAGAATAGTAGTTCGTTGACAAAACCAACTCAGCTCACATTTAATTTGCGGCTATAGTGAATCCTATCTAATCTAATGTTCATTCATTTAATTTATTCATGTCGTTTCAACCACAACATGAGGATGTTGTAGTAATTGACAAAACATATTAAGAATCACTGTCAAGAGCACGTGCTGAAGCAAGTGTGTTAACAACATCACATGCTTTATTAATCACGAAGAAAGCATGCAAAATTCAACAACGATCGAATTGCGGCGTAATTTTTTAATTGCAAGTGATAATATCATTGTGGAGGCAGTGATCGAGTGTGCTGCCGTCTTCCACATATCTTTGTTGACCTTTTCATTTTATAATGTGCTAGTTGACTTTAAGCTCGATTACAATGTTGGAATTGGCGCTAACCTCGACGAGGGTCGACATCGAGGTCGGATGCGGTTTTGAACTTATCTCAGTGATCTGAGAACTGATTTTGGATTCAGCCTCGGCGAGATCGGCCTCGACCGGAGGCAACTTAATTGGTTACTCGCAAATTAGTGCTGATATCCCTAGGGTATCCGACAATATACTCCATTAGTGTCATATACACATGTGTCGATTTGTAAGGACAATATTGGTTACATGATATGTGGAAAACATTGTATATGTTGACCCAAAACTCTCAATTATGTTAGTTGAAAGTCTCTTGTGAAAATATAAACCCTTTAAAGCTAAGCGATCGATTAATTAGTTTAAACATCTTAAATATTTCTTATATTTCAAACGATTTTTTCCAAAACATAGTTGTTGGAATGGAAACTTATTGATAGAGTATATGAACTCAGGCCAATGACACACGACTCACATACGTGTAGATATACAAATGGCCCAGAAGCTATTGGACTACCCCACCTTGGCCAGACGACGACCAACAACTAACGTAACAATGAAAGTTACCAGAAACAGCGGAATTAGATTACAAGCACATCAGGTCAACACATGTCCGTGCAGGCCCCTCAGACTGGACATCTTGTCCACCAACAGATGACTGACAAAGAACACATGTCACATTATGTTGCATAGCAGAGCTTTCGCCCATAGACTAGTTGACACGTGTAGGTACATTTAATGCACATAGTATTTATTACTAGTATAAAACTATAAATACTCCCTTACGATAGATGTAAACAGTGCTCAACTCATTTATTATCATACTCCGTATTATTTTCTTTGTCTAACTTTTAGGTTTCCATTCCCCATCTCTACAATATCACTAGTGGTAAACTATTATATACGTAGTATTCAAAAGGTTTGCTTCATCAACTAGAATCAAGTAAATAAAGAAGAGTGTTCTTCATTTTCACAATGCATGCAACGGTTATGTTTAAAAGGTTAGCAATGTTCGCACTTAATATCACTTGTGGATGTGAGATTGGTAAATGAAGATCCCAATTAGCAATCAAAGAGTTTTGAATAAACTCGACTTCTATTTCTCAAAGGTGGGACTTACGAGTCAAAGTTTTTACCTTTATCTTGTTCCCCTCTCAAGAATTTCTAGACTCACATCCTCAATCTTTCTCTTAATGTTAAATTATTTGTGATTTTAACATTTTCAATACTCAGGGGCCGACCGTAGTACAGACCCAGGGGGCTGCCGCCCCCCAACAATTTTTTTTTAGTATATATATACAAAATTTTTACTTTTACCCCCCTCCAACATTTAATTCTCGCCCCTCCAAGAAAAATTTTGAACTCCCCCAAAAAATATTTTCTCCCCCAAAGCATAGCCCACTTGCAGAAACCCAATTGTTTAAGAGCCTAAAAAAATAGAAATTTTACAAGTAATATTATATCAACTCACTCCAAAATTTATTTCCCATTAACCCACCCCAAAATCTAATCCCAGCCCACCGCCCAGACCAAACTAATGAAAAACATGCGCACCTAGAAGAAAGAAACGGAAAGATCGATTATTTTTAAATGATTGTCCTTATGCCTACTATGTTCATTGCTTAGCACATCAGTTGCAATTAGCATTGGTTGCTGCTTCTAGAGAGGTGAAATATGTGCACAATTTTTTCATCGATTCAATCTTTATTATTAATGTGACTAATTCTTCTTGCAAACGAAGTGATGAATTAAAGGAAGCTCAAGCACTTGAAATTGCAAGAATGTTGGAAATTGGTGAGCTTGAAACAAGCAGAGGACTTAATTAGGTTGGTACATTACAACAAGCTGGGGAAACTCGTTGGAGCTCACATTTCAGTTCTGTTTGCAGTTTGATTAGGATGTTTGCTGCAACTTGTTCTGTTTTAGAAGATGTTGAAGGGAATGGCAATAACTATTCTACTCGTGGAAATGCAGCTAGAGAACTTAAGAAGATTAAATCTTTTGATTTTGTTTTCTTGTTGCATCTTATTAAATAAATTATGGGCATTACAGATCTTCTATGTCAGCATATACAGAAGAAGTGCCAAGACATAGTAAATGCTATGCATTTGGTGTCAAGCACCAAAATGTTGATCCAAAAGTTAAGAGAGGGTGGATGGGATAACTTCTTAGAAATTGTTAAAGAGTTTTGCACAAAAGCATGAAATTGAAGTTCCTAATATGAAGTCTCCTTATGCGGTAAAACGCAAACACTATGATCAAGAAGGGTTTGATATTGAACGTCCGTATGCGGTGAACAGATAATGGATCTTCTTACTCTTAGTGGTGCTTTGGATCTTCTTACTCTTAGTTGCTAAAACTTTTGACTAAAAAGCCGTGATTGAGGAATTTATCTCGTTGAAAAAGCGTTGGGTACAATTCTAAGGTACTAACTTTAACTATTTTGTAATAATATATTTGTCTCTTCTTCTATTATAATGCTTCATTTAATTACTACTCCGTATTATATTAAGGTTATAACTTATAATAATAATTGCCTAGATTTTTTTTGTTTAAATTATCGCCCCCAATATCAATTTCCTGGGTCCGCCCCTGTCAATACTACTAATGTTAGTATATGTAACTTGATTGTAAGTTAGCACAATGAATTCTATAAAAGTGTTACTGCATATATGATAATAAAATATATATTCCTATGTTTATTTGTTATCTTATTCCCATACGTAATGTACAGATTTTGAATCTTAATCTGCAGTTGTATTACGACATTCGGAGCATGTTTGATATTACCAAAATCGGCTGAATCAGTTGATTCTGCTGAAATTTATGAAGTTCTGTCCGAAGTTGTTAGATTGACTGATTCTGCTGATTTATGAAAAAATTATATTTAAAATATAGCTAAACTGATCATCTACACTAACTTCAGCCAATAGAGCCAAAAAGTAGCTTCAACCTTGATTTTTCTTATTATTACACAATTCAGCGCGCGAGATAAAAAATTACGTGTTTGGTGAAAAACTTGATTGATAAGTCTGATAAACCGAAAAAAGGGTTACGAAATGGGCTCAGGCCGTGAAGTTTCTTAACGGGGGCTTGGTCACAGGCATTGCCCCATCTAACCCGGTGAGTCCGCCACCGACGATTTAAACAGAAAAACGCAAAAGTGCGTCACGAATTGGAAAGTTTGGGGGGTGCGTACATTGGATTGGCAGCGTAAGAACAAAAGAGTGGAGGCATAACGCGTTGGGTAGGACCACCCAAACACTTGCTTTCTTTCACATCTCATTTCCATACCTTGCTTCAATGAATCCTATCTGTACGCCACTACCCTAAAGTTGTTCTCTTCAATCAATCCATCATTCTCCAATGGGAATATTGCATCTAAATATTATCCTAACATGTACAAATAAGATTATTATGTTTACATTTCCAAAATAGAAACCAATTGTACCAATATAAAAATCATTTTGTTATTCATAATAAAATATTTCAATTTCTAATAAAATCACTAAACCATAAAAAATGAAATACAACATTAATAGGAAAAATCGAAACTTATAATCTCACCTTTTAGTGCTCTTTAAACAATAGTCTCACCTAATCGTAATTCAAGAAAAATCTAACATTTGCACCTTATCTTCATTCGCCGATCCGTGACTGGTTGATGACCTGCTATTCAAGGTTTTTTCATTTTTCTTTGTAAATCATTAAACCATAAGTCATACTCATACTTTCTACAAATCTTCTAAAAACGGTTCCACATATTTTTTTTTTTATTTTTCTTCCTGAGATTTTTTTTTACCTTTTTATGTATTCATTCATATTCGTTGTAGTCTCTTTTTGTAATTTTCCGGTTACTTATTTATATTTTTTCTTTGATGTTTTTAGAAAAGAGAGATATAGAGCATAAATTCCCCAAATAGGACTTAATGAAACTTTAATTGCAAGAATATGAGCATAATTTTAAAATTCACTAAATAGGACTAGCTTTTCAATTTTACTCGTGCTTTGTTTTAGTACAATTTACATTTCATTAATAATTAAAACATAAAAGTTATAAAAATAAGCAGGCCTCTGCTGCCGTTTCAACCAGCAGCACCAGCTCCGACCACCAGAGAAATGCAAACATGTGTCAGTAATTCCATTTTGATGTATGTTTTAGAGAAAAGTTTGGCATTCTAAAAGAGTAAAAATGCCATATTCATGACATTTTCAGACAAAAACTTACAGTTTAAACATAAAATTACATTTTTTTCACCGATCGGAGTTGGCATTGTTGGGAGGTGGCCGAAGCCGCAGCAAAGGCCTCCAAACTGTTTTATATTTTCAATGTGTTTGAACTATTTTTATAGTTATTTTAAAATTATTATTTTTATTTTTTTTATTTTTACTGGGAGTACATCTTTATATTTTTTTTGTATACTATAAAATATGATTATCCTAGTTATGACAAAGGTAGAATTCGATAGAGTGTACTTTAGTCCTGTTGAGTTTAATCCAACACGATATAGTAAACATATGTATAAATGTGTATGAACAAGCTCAGTTTTTACGTGGAAACACGAAAGGGAGAAAACCCCGGGAATTTTTAGGCTAATGTCCAAGCCCTCTCATTCTCATTAGACTCTCCTCACCATTACATAGTACAATTTTAGCTTCCATTAATGGAGTCTTGTAAACTATTCTAGGGAGAAGAAGAAGCATGGGGAAAAAGGAAAAAGGATCCCTTTACATGGAGGGAAACCTCCTATTTATAGGGAATAGGGGGAAAGGGGGCTCTCCACCCTAACGGGCCGAATGGGCCAAAATGGGCCCAAAGGCCGAAACAGGCCTGATAGGCTAAAAATGGGCCTCACTGATTGGGCTCTGTGCTACGTAAGTCTTGGGCTCCTGAACAGTAATAGGCCGGGATAATATATCCCAACAAGTCCTATTTTGGGAAGATAAATAACATAGTCCTATTTGTGCATTTAGGAATTAATTTAGTCCTATTTAGGTCAATTTTCTCAAAAATACATTAGTGGTGGAATCAAGGTAAGAAAAGGGAAAATGAAATAAATAAGTGTAAGTCAAAAGAAAATAAAATAATTAAAAAGTTAGTACCATGAGAAAAGATCTTTTACAAGAAGATAACTAATCTGAAAAATATATATATATAAATGAAAATGTAATAATAAAAGAGAAGAAGACAAAGAAGGGAAAGTGAAATACATAAACATGAAAAAAAAAGTAACAAGACTAAAAAGGGAGATATAAGAGTAGAGTAAATGACCTTTTATAGTAAATTCAGTCAGGATAACATTTCCAACCGTACTTATTTTGATTGTTATATTAAAGGGACTTTTATCCTTTTTATTGCTCCTTCATCCTTATATTACTTATTTTATGTTGTGAACCACATATTTTTTGTCAAAAAAGGGAAATATGAATTTATATTTGGACTTTTCCAAAAAGCGAAAGATGAATTTATCCCGGAATGGACGAAAAAGGGAAAAAGGAAGATGATATCGAGATAATACTATGGCCATGTTTGGCACACAAAAGCCTCTGCCTTCTAGCTTCTCTTTTCTTTAAAAAGACCTTAAAAGACTCTAGTTGTATGTTTGACATGACATTTTTTAAGAGCTTTTCAAAAATTAAAAGATCTTTTTTGAGATGCTACCGGGTGTAGCATCTGAGAAAAGCTCGTGACTTTTAGTATTAATTTGTCCTAACAGCTTGTATATCAAACCGAACTAAATCAAACAGTCAGCTTTTTACCAAACAGCTATCACATTTTCTTTTTAAGATCTTTTCAGTCACTAAAAGCTAATAGTTACTAAAAAGCTCGCAAAAGTATCTTTTCATCTAGTTGTGCCAAACATCCCTATATAAAGAATTATCCATTCCCCAAATTTCCACTGGCCAGACCACAAACCTTGGCGTGGCCTGTCCTGCTCAATCTTTGAGACGTTAAAGATCATGAATATTTTGTAACTATCTACGGTTCTCTGTGTTTTAACTTTTAATGCATAGGAACAGAAAATTAAATTGGGCCAATACTCAAAACAATTGTAAAACTTTTTCTTATTTAAACTAACATGCATAATAATAAAAATTCCAAGACATTTATAAAAAGTTTTAAAACTCTTTTCGGGTCTAAACCAATATGTTATAGTATTGGTGGTCCTTGTTTAGGAAAGAAATAATAATGGTCATATTTGTACAATTTAGCAATGATTAAGTCATATTTAAATAACTGCTCTTGTTATGAATCTCGCTAGAGCTGTTTCTTCCATTTTTGACATAGTTGAAGAAAGGCCGGCACTTTTTCTTGGTAATCGGGTGGGCTTGTCTTCGTGTGTTGCTTGTCCAGTCGCGCCGAGGAGAGGGCTCCGTAGGTGCAGTCATTTGACTCAACTTCGGCTGATTTGGTTTGGTCGGGAGGCGGAGAGTGCGGCGCAAATCAAAGGATTTGGATGGATGCATGATATTGTTGAATCATTACAGGAAGATTTTGCTATTGGAGAGGAGCTGGGATAGCGAACTGAATTTCGATGACGAGGGAGGCGAGCAGTTTGCTGCAGTCGAGGAGAGAGACGAAATCCCGGTGGTTGGAGTCATTTTCACGGACTGAAAAATCAAATATTAAGTTTTCAAAGATCTTTTGGCTTCTATTTGGCATCCGGGTAAAGGGGTCACCATCAAAGATATATATGATAAAAGGTACGTAGTATATGTTTACCTTTTACCATATTATGGTTATGAGTCGTGTTTTTGAGGAAGTTATGCCACATGATATACTCCATAAAATGAAATTTGGTTAAAATGAAATTTGGTTGTATATATGATCCCCCTTCATGTATTTTGAATGCTTTGGCTCATGACCTTATTAATAGTAGCTAAGTCGTTTTTGTTCAACAAAAAAAATCCATGTTAAGACTGTTCTTCTTTATTTTTATTTCATTTTTTGCTGTAAGACTCTTGCATTAGGATTGAGTGATGAGAGCTTCGCGGTAACCACCTTTGGCACAATTATGTCCAAGTTAGGATCAACGAGTTATATTACTTTGTCAAAGGTGATTAACTCTGAGTCTTGTTCAAGAGCTGACGGTTGCATGTGGTTCTTTTGTTTTTTAACCCATATCTGAATGTTGTGATATCAATCTAAGCCCCCTTCTTCCAAAAAAAAGTCACATTTAAGGAATTAACTCTATTATTAGCAACTCCTAAATTCTCTCCTACAATGATATGATCATTTTGAATTGCTTCATTTTTGGTAGCTAAATCATTATTCTTCTATGAGTTCTCATATTGAGGAGGACATTGGAGTTTTGACTTCTTTACCTAATCAAAATTTCCATCCAACCTTTTTTATTTAGCGCCGCTCTGTGTAATCTTCTCCTCTTTTTTCTTTCTCCTATCCAGATTCAATCATTTTTATGACACATTGAAATTAATTATAATTGAATAGTTTTGTCTAACAAAATCAACAAATTATAGCACCAACATTCAATAAATAAAAATCAACAATTAAGAAATCAAACGATCAACTATGAATGAAATCAATTAATAAACTAATCAAATAATTATATCACAGTAATATGCTTCCATGTAGAATTTTTTATAAAATTTTGTGAGTATGTATTTCATCAAGTTTCGATTACATATCCTTAAAATTTCAGCTTAAAATTCAACCATGAAGTAATTTTTTATTTAACTTGTAAGTTAACTAAATCATTGAAAAACAATGCATCAAAAATACATAAAAGCAATGTTTTGCAATAATTTATTTAATAAACTTCTAGATTGAACTTTAAAATGATTTTTTGCGAACACAGAACATGATTCTAAAAAATCCACCAAAAGAACAATTAGTTTCGAACTGAAAATACCTACACACACTTATTATAAGGAATTACAACAAGCTTCATTTTTGTTATTTTTTGGGCCTGCTGCCCCTGATGGTGAAACAATTTCTTTCGTCATGGCGAGATGCACTAGGAGTGAGAAGTATCCCAATTGGGTAGAATACTAGAATGCCATTCTCAATAGAAGTTCTTATGAAAATGTTATTTGTACATAAAATTTATACGCATCCCTTACACTCTTGTCTGTTCACATACATCTAATATCTGCACATACACTCTTACAGTTTTGATCTATTAGATGACTCTTTCTACTTAGACGACTTTCTAGAGCGTGCAACAGAAAGTGATCGTCGAATTTTTTTCTCCGAGTAAAATGATATTCAGGACTCCAAATTTAACAAGGAAATATGCTACAAATCTCAGTTCATCACACAAGACATCACCAGCCTGCCAACGGAAGACCCGAATACACAACTCAAAATCTAACGGAAAACTCAAAAAGAATAAAAGGCGCCATAGCATGAAAACAAGATGGCAGTCCAAATAATTCTCCCGAACGTAGATTAATTTTATTTCTCATTTCTGTATTGCTTTCTATTTCTTTCTCGTATTATACTCTTTTTCTTATCAATAAAAGCTCTCTTTTCCCCAAAACAACATCAAGTAATATTTTTGCACAAGTACGAATTTATTAATTTATGATTTTTGTTTTCCGTCGACTTTCTATTTCCGATTATTTTTCCAATTTAGGAAAAATGTGAGTAAGATGGAATATGATAAAGTTGTTACTCCAGTGATTTTCTGACTCTTTTTTGCGGTGAATCTCCGATAAATATTGAAATTGGAAAAAAGATGAAAATGAGATGTGGTGATTATATAATAACTAAATGAAAAAAGAATGAAAAGAAAATAAATAGAAAAAAGATTGAAGAGGTGAGTGAGGAGAGGTGTTATGTATGTATGGAAGGATGGGGCAAGAATTGTGGGAAGAGAAAGGAGTGAGGGAAATCGGGGAGAGAGGTTGGAGAAGTAATTTTTTGTTTTGACTATTAATATGGTGTACATAAATGTGTACATTAGTGCGTAGTTGCGTACACCGAGCACAATCATTCACCTTGGATCACCCCCAAATGCATGGTGGTTAGGTATATAGATAGTTACTCATTTTAGTGTGATAAGTTTTATGTGCTCTCATAGCGCTTTAGCTTGCATATGGTGTGATCTATGTTGAACTAACAATGTCATACAAAGATGTTGCAATACAAAAAAATCTAATGCTCCACAAAATGATTCACTATACTTATTGCATTTTTTTTATGAAACAACAGTCAATCCATGCAATTTTCGATGTGATTGTCATCATGTGTCATCCGAAAACAGTATCTCTATTGCGTACATCCGACCCCCCTTACCCCACCGTAGGTGGGAGCTTTAGCGGCATTGAGGTAATGATGATGATGATGATGGATGGTTCTGTTTAAAAGTAAAAGTAGAATTAGAACTTCTAGGACACTGATTCTAGAAGCAATGTTTGGTACTCAAAAGCACTTTTGCCCAAACACTTTCAAAACTGTGTATAGGTGTGTTCTTCAACGTGAATCACTAATAAATGCACCCTAATTAACGTGATCCAAAACACCCCAACGTATAGGCTTTTCTTCAAATTAAAGTGAGTCACTCACCCTCAAGGACCCGCTAATAAATGCATGAAGATAGAGTGATTTTAATTAACATATCCATAGGTGTGTTCGTCGTTGGACAGAAATATGAGAAATGCGGTGAAACGTGAAACAAGAAATACCATTTTTCTATCTTAATTAACATGGAATAGAAAATTAAGTATTTGGTTGGAACTCCATATCAATCTTAGCTTGTGAAATGGAAGGTGGTGGACTGACTTTCCTGCCACTTGGCTGGGCTGGGAAGTACGGCCGATGAGCTGAGCTGAGGTAGAGCAGACAGTGTGTAGTGGGCATGGTGCACAACCGGCTGGCCACCTCGATCATAATGATGATAATGTTATCCCATCCTACCAATATATAACAACTTTATCATATGTATACATGCAATGCAATGAGCATCTATCTGGCTAGCTAGCTAGCTATCATCCATCTAGTCCACACAGCACAGCAGTAGCTAGTGGGGAACTGCGGCGGATGGAACACCTAACTTTTTCCTCATGCTTTGCCTCCCTCCCTTCCCAATCATAAAACTGTCTTTTGAATTCAACCATCGATCCATATCCGGCCAAAGTACATATATACAAATCTGTTTCCACAAAAACCTGCTAGCTATATATGCTAATTTCTGTCATTCTATATTCCTCAATCGTATCCTAGTATGTTTATCTCTCAAAACTCTGTCAAATTTAATTAGTACAATAAATAATAAAGTAAAGACTATGTAGTCGATCGGATTTGTGTAGGCGATCGAACGAGAAATACTAAAGACTAAAAACTCTCTGTGAATTCTTCCACATCTTCCACAAAAATGTTAAGTTACTTTAAGTATCCACACGTGGACCGTCACGTCAGCGGGGCAACCTGTTAATTGACCCAATTGAACAATTTATTTGAGTAGTTATTATATATTTTATTTGAATAGTTATTATTGAAATAACACTATATAATTATTATGCAATGGTTGTAAATTGATAAGTACATAATTATACTTATAATCTTTCCAATAAAAAAATTGTAATTATAATAACTTTGATAATAAAAGAGCAATATTGAAGATAAGATAGTCAAAATTATACTCCCTTTGTTCCACAATTAAGTTCCCAATGTACTTTTGAGTCAAACTTTACAAACTTTGACTATTAATTATTCATAATTAATTTACATTTCTTTATCATACAAAATTAATTTATATACTTCATTGAAATGTATATTATTCAAATATTAATTTATATGGAGTATTAGATTTATAAGTATAGATTTTTTAGATATTTGGAGAAGGAAATATGTTTTTCATTTTGGCCCACTGGCCAACCCGCAACTCGTTGCGAGTCAACCTACTTGACTCCTAACCCGCGAATTAATCGGGCCAGAAGATGACAACCTTAACCCACCATTAAATTGGTTAAAACGGCCCAACTCGTGACTTTTGGCCCGTGATGGCTTGCCTGTAGACGGTCATACACTCATAGAGTCAATCAATGAACACTTGGACAGTACCATGCGTGTCAATTGCTTGGGCTGGTTATTGCGCAGAACTGAGGCTTCTATTCTGCATTCTGGGATTCAACAGAAGACTATGGGCTGTTTGATTAATTAGTTTGGGTCAGGCGGACTATTCTCTGAAAGTTTAATGCATTTAGCCCGGACATTCTTTGTTTTCTTTTTTTAAGATCACATTTTTGTCCAAGTAGAAAGTGGTCAAATTTTTGTCTATGGAAAGTCTGTACGTACTCCCTCCATCCCTGAAAATACTTCTAACTTTCCCTTTTCATCTGTTCCAAAAAGAATTTCACTTTCTCTTTTTGACAAAGAATTTGTGGTTCACATCATTTCTCTCTTCTCTGCACAACTCTCCACCATACAATTCACACCTTCTTAATCCGCGTGCCACTTTATTATGGAAGTAAATTCAGAGACGGAGGTAGTAATATTTTAGCCATTACTTCTTGGATAATTATAATTGTGATTGGGCTAGGCAATGATCAACAAAAGCAGGCTGGACTGCCACATTTATATTGGACTGGCAAGGCAGAAATAAAATGGCGTGTATAAGTGAGGCATCTTAATTGGATAGATTTGAATGAGACTCACACGTAAAATAACATTTTTTGGATAAGATAAAAACTACTACCTCCGTCCCTCTAAGTTTGGGACAAGAGAAAGTGACACGATTATTAATAAAAGTAAGTTTATGTGGTTGATATTAAATTGATAAAGTAAGAATAGAGGATGAATGATATAGAACCACACAAATTTTACCAAATAAGGTATGGGTCAATCTTAGTGGGACGGACTGAAAAGGTAAAATGGGACAATCATAGCGGGACGGAGGGAGTATTATTTCATGTATGTTTAATCTATATTATTGATCTTTAGAAGTTTAAAAGAATTGTTTGTTAAGGTGTCACTGGGGACTGTGGGCAGAACTTGTAGATATATTTGAGGCTATAAGAGATCATATATATGACTAAATAGATTTAGGGCCCGTTTGTTACGGTGTAAAGTAAACATTTTGCGTGTAAAGTGAGGGGAAGTAAACACTTTACACCGTTTGTTTTAACTATTTTAATGTAAACTGTAGGGCACTTTTTTAATCATATTTTACACTGTACCGTGTAAAATATTTTACGTGGGGGAGGGTTGCAAAGTAGTTTACATCCATTTTTGCAAGCGATTAAAAGTCTAAAACATATGGCGGCATCGATTAAAACCTATTTTTGTTAGCGATTAAAACATATGGCGGCATCGATTAAAACATATGGCGGCATCGATTGAAACACGACTGTGGCGGCAAAACAAAAAAATTGGCGGCAAGAACTTCATAATTTATTCTATATAAGCAAATAAAATCATCAAACCAATTCATCAAATCTCTTCTCCATCTGTTCTCTGCGCTCGACGTTATCAAGAGGTCAGCTTCTACACTTTGGTTTAATTTATATATACGTGTATACATATTCAAATATTTGATCTGTAACTTTGATTATATGCTGAGATTTGATGTATACTTGAATTTGAAAGCTAAGCCATGCATATCCGTTGTTTAGGTATGAGAAATACTTGGGTTGATCAAATATATATACGTATTATTTGTCTATCTATATATACACAAACATATATGAATATATGTATATACACGGCTGCTGTGAAGTTAGCATTTGAAATCTGAACAGGGATTGGGGACTCGAAACCCATGTTTGCAGAAATAGGGATTTTGAAGTTTTTTTGTTAATTGATGTGTGTTGTACTGCTTTTACTACTCCGTATGATGTAATGGTCTCTTATGATGTAATGGTCTCTGTTATTATACCAGTTATGATATTTGATGCTCTTATACCCATTATATTTGATTTATCATTGTTATTAAAAAGGCGTATTTACCCTGTTCGGTTGTTCTATTATTGCCTAGCTTCTAACTAGATGTTCCAGCTAATTTTGAGTTTTAGTGTTAATTTGGAACAATTTTTCTTTGATTGTGATTTGTGATAACATCTTTTAATTTCTAATTGTCTAATATTGTATCACAAACTTTTCACATTTTCATTCTTATTATAACAAGCTTTCAAAAATAAATAAATAAATAAATAAAATTTGTATGACATACTAATTAAGTGGAGTTATATTTTTTTGGTGTTAGTGTTGATCATGGACAGCTCATTGCAAGACGAAATTACAATGTGCATGGCAGCTTATGTTGTTGCTTTAAATTTTAGAAACTTTCTACTCATTGTGCTTGCGATGTTAGAATATTATAGAGACACTTTTATTCTACGAAAGAGGAAGAGGTGTCAAAAAGGAAGTGCCTATGAGAGGTATGAAATTAGACGAGTAAATTTTAGAACAATGATTTGGGATGACGATAAAGAATGTGTAGATAACATTAGGATGGATAGGAGGGCATTTTACGTGTTATGTGACATGGTTGAAACCGTTGGCATGTTGCGATCAACAAAGAATTCAACCGTTGAGGAAATGCTTGCTTCATTCCTCTATATACTCTCTCATCATACCAAAGTAAGAGTGGCCAAAAGAGAATTTGTGCGTAGCGGTGAGACAATAAGCAGAAACTTTAATAAGGTCTTGCTTGCTATCTTGAGACTACATGAAGTTTTGCTTAAGAAGCCTGAACCAGTGCCTCAAAATTGTAAAGAACATCGTTGGAAATGGTTTAAGGTATTGATTTTACATTATTTACCTGGAACTTACCTCAAAATAAAAAATGGTTAAATAAGCTAATTACTAACAAAGTACTACTATTTTATTTTAATATGTAGAATTGTTTGGGAGCACTAGACGGAACTTATATTCAGATAAATGTCCCTGAACAAGAAAAGCCCAAGTACAGGACAAGGAAAGGCGATTTAGCAACAAATGTACTTGGAGTTTGTTCTCGGGATTTACATTTTATTTACATATTGCCTGGGTGGGAAGGTTCTGCTGCGGACGCAAGGGTATTAAGAAGTGCAATTTCTAGACCAAATGGCTTTGTAGTTCCTCAAGGTTGCTACTATCTATGTGATGCCGGATACAGCAATGCAGACGGGTTTTTAGCTCCGTATAGAGGCCAACGGTATCACATAAAAGAATGGAGTCCACAAAATTATCCTAGAACAAAAGAAGAATTGTTTAATTACAAGCATTCATGTGCACGCAATGTCATTGAGAGATCATTTGGGTTATTAAAAATGAGATGGGCAATTCTTCGTAGTAGATCGTGGTACCCTGTGAAGACGTATTGTAGAATCATAAATGCTTGTGCTTTACTTCACAATCATATAAGAAGGGAGATGCGAAAGGATCCGCTTGAGGATAAGGTGCCGGAAGATTATGTTGATTCTGATCCGTTGTTGAATGCCCCAAGCATACAAGATATTGAGCCATCTGCAGCTTGGACTGCATTTAGGGATAACTTAGCCCAAGAAATATGGAATGAGCGTCGAGCTAATAGGAATTAATAAACATATTAGTGGTTTTATACGTTTTTATTTGTTAGGAATCATCTTAATTATTTGTTATGATTTTTTGTTAAGAAAATCTGTCCACTCTTTGTGCACTTGGTGGATGAGCTGCAAGAGCTCTTTGTTTTTATTTATAATAAAATACTAGCGATCTATATAATTTTTTTTTCAGGACGTGTTGTAGTTTCTTTTTATATTAACTCATCATATAAAGCAAGACTGCGTATTTCACCATGATGTTTGTGTGTTCTTAACATTTGTGTTATAGAGTCTACAATGGAAGATTGTACTATCACACCCCCGAGTTCAAAAGTGAAGCGCAATAATCATCAGTGGTCTCCTCATGAAGACAAAATACTCATTGAGGGTTGTCTGGAATTGATCAACCAAGGTTGGAAAGCTGAAAATGGATTCAAAACTGGTTTTTATCAGCAGCTGCAGAAGTGGATGGCTACAAAAATCCCTGGTTGTCATATTTTGGGAGATCCAAATATAAAAAATAGGTTAAGGCATTTAAAAACTCAATATAAGGAATTCTCTATGATGAGGGGTGCTTCAGGTTTTGGCTGGAATGAGGAAACCAAAATGGTTAATTGTGATGATGAGGTTTGGGCTTCTTGGATTAAGGTATTATATCTAAATTATTGCACGTGTTAAATATGGTTATACGTTATTTGTGACTTTTACTTATTTTTTAATCAATATCGTCATTCTAGGGACATAAAGAGTCAGTTCATCTTAGACACAAGTCATTCCCTTATTATGATGACCTAGCAATAATATTTGGTGCTGAATGGGCAACTGGGGATAAGTGTGAGTCTCCAGCTGAAATGGTGACTAGTTTAGGAAAAGAAAGTGCACCTCAAGAAGGAGCTCATGTTCCAAAAAGTGTTGTCCATGATGATTTTTTTGGTGTGGCTGTGGATCTCGATACTACGAATGATGATATTTTTTCATCGCCTGATATCAACAGAAATAAGAAGCGGACTCTTGGTATTTCCATCAAGAAGGAATTTGAGGAGCCATCAAAAAAGTCAAAGAAGAATGAGTTTGATAAACATGCTGAAGTGTTCCAAAAAAAAATTGAAACAGTTCTCGAAATGTGTGCTACATCAAACAAGCAGTTTGAGAAAGTGACAACATTTTTTGATCGTTTTAATGCTGCTGATGATGTTAAGCCACATATACTACAGGTGATAATGAATCTGCCAGATTTAAGTAAGGAGCAGGCGATACGTGCATTTGGAATTATATCATCTAGCAAAGGAAAAACGGATTCTTTCTTACTCATGCCAGACGAAGAGGCGAAGTTGATTTATGTCCGAGCTGTCTTGAACGGAGAAATCTAATTAGAGGCATTTTAGTGACTTTCTATGAATTTTTTATCATTTAGTTTTATTAAGACAATATTGGATTTCTATTTAATCCTTTTACATTCCTTCAAAGTGTTACTGTTTTGGTAGTTGAAACTACGACAATAAAGTAATTTTCAATTTAAACTTTTCAATTTATAATGTCTACTTTGTGCTTTCAATTCAAATAAACTGCTATTTCACATACATTTATTTTTTACAAGTGTATGGAAGCAAAAATTAGTAATATAATTTGTCATCGGCAAGTATAATGAGTTGGTTTCAAATAGTTACAAAAATAACATTTTGATCCCCCTCGACCCATTGTATATTGCTGGAGAACAGCGCCATGGCACACTCGCGAGTGCATCATCGACAACTGCAGGTACCATATTGCTGGAGAAAAAGCCATGGCCACAAATTTTTGCTATCACACGCATGAAGTGATGTACGGAGTAGTTTTTTATAAATATTTTACTATGTAAAGTTATTTTTGTTATCAAACATTGCAAAGACTTTGCGTGTAATTTAAAAATAGATTACATAGGTAACCAAATGGTGTATCTTTATTTTACATGCAAACAATTTTACATGTCCTAAACTTTACATGCAATCATTTTGCATGCAAAGTTTTAATGTGTAAACTACCAAACGAGCCCTTAATGTGAATATAAGTCACTGTAAATTAGTCGGGGCTCAGCAAATACTGCACATATATACTAGTCGAAAATATCGTTTTCGCAACGATTTGAACCACCATAGAAGGCCTTGCCGCCGATTTCTACGTGTGGCGGTTCTTTTGTTCGAAACTCCATAAAATTAAAATTTAATTTTCATAGAATTCACGATTATTATTACACAAGAACCGTTGCCAATTTTGAATCTTTTATTAGCACACGCATCGTTATATTTATGAACCGCCGCAAATCTCAAATATTTTTACTGAATATGTAATTTGGTTTGAGTTTGATAGTATTTCTTCCAAACCGTATTAAACTGGACCGAACGAAAACCGAGAAAAACCGAATAAAACCGAACCGAAATAAAGAAATTCAATAAAACATTCATATGTTATTAAAAATAACCAATCCAAACCGAACAAAACGGAAACATAACAAATTGTACCAAACCAAAAAATAATATGGTTTTTGTTTGGTAATAATTCTTTTAATCTGTTCCAAACGAAACCGATAAAAACCGATAATATGGTTTTTGTTTGGTAATAATTCTTCCAATCTGTTCCAAACGAACCGAAACCGATAAAAACCGCACAAAAAACCCATATGTACACCCCCTACTCAAAAGTATCACTTTTTACATCAAGGAAACGAATACACTACAATATCATGCATTAATATATTTATTCAATACGACTCTAATCTTGAAATTCAACCCTGTAAATAAGTAATCCGTATTAATTATAATCTATTAAGAACACAATAAATTAACAATTAACACTCTACTAAATCAATTCAATATAACTACTTTAAAATTAATATTATTCAATAAAGGTATTACCCTAAATAAGAGTAAAACAATGTGAAAGTTCCCAAATAGGAGTGGTTATTGATTTATTCCCCAAATAGGAGTTATCTCATACTCACCCGTCTTTCCTTCCTATTATACCCCTCTATTATTTCCCGCACCCCCATCTCTCTCTTACGAATCTGCATCGTCTCTTTCTCCCTCTCTCCAATCTTCCGATTATCTTCTCCGCCTCAACTCTCCTTGACATCTTTTGAGATTTAATTGTTCCACTCTTTCTGGCGGCAACAGGCAGTAGGCGGCGGCGTAATCGTATGGCATAGGTTAGTATAGATCTTCCTCCTTCTCCTCGATCTTTCTTCTTCTCCTCCTCTTTTCTTGTTCTTTCTCCACTAATTCATTTTCCAATTGTTTCAAATTAAATTTGTTTCAATTGTTTCAATTGTTTTTTTAAATTTATTTTAATCAATATGTTGGTAAATTTTCAGATTAGTCATCCGATGTGAATCTGTAAAAAGTTCTCTTCTCTTGTTCTTTCTCCACCGATTCTTCAATTTAATCTTTTTTACAAATTTGTTTCAATAATTTTATATAATTTATTTCAATAATCAGTGTGTTGGTAAATTTTCAGATTAATCTTCCTATTGGAATCTGTAAAAAGTTCATTTTCTCTTCGTTATTCTTTCTCTTGGTAAAATGGGACAATCATAGCGGGACGGAGGGAGTATTATTTCATGTATGTTTAATCTATATTATTGATCTTTAGAAGTTTAAAAGAATTGTTTGTTAAGGTGTCACTGGGGACTGTGGGCAGAACTTGTAGATATATTTGAGGCTATAAGAGATCATATAGAGAGAAGAATAAATGACAAAATCGGAAGTAGTATATCGATCTTGGTAAAGCTAGTGCTATCAAGATGACATTATTCGACTTTTCATAATGAAATACAATATTGCCATATTTTTATGGCATTAGTATTCAAATTGACTTTTCAGAATGAAATACAATATTGCCATATTATGCCATGAACATGTCACTATGTGTCAAAATTATATTTTCATATGGAAATACATGTCATTATTAGTACTTTATTTGCATAATGTTAATATTGCCATCCTGAGATGTCATTATTAGTACTTTATTTGCATAATATTAATTCTAGAGAGAAGTGAAAGCTAGAGAGCGAAAGTGAATAATTAATATTTCTCAACCCCCTATAACTAGCCCCTTGGGGTCTATTTATAGGTAAATATGTGGATTTGGGCCCCTAGCCTTGGGCTTAGGAGGCTCATTACAATAATCATGCCTTCTTTGGGCGAAATAGGGCCACTAATGGGCTGAGTACAATACTTAACAACTAAGATGAGAAAACACATTCTGCCAGGCCGGAGCCTGGCCGAGGCGGTACGTCATGGCCGATGCGGCCCCATGGCCGATGCGGCCCATGGGCCGATGCGGCCCCCAGAGCCCAAATGGTGCTCTGGGTTGATCTGGTTTCTGGCCGTTGCGGGTCCCTCCGGGCTGTAGCGTGCCACGTGGCTGTCCTACTGGCGTTCTTGGTCTTTGAGTGTGTGGGCCACGGGGTCCGGGCCCATATACTCTATAAGGAGTCCCCCACTCTCTGAGCTGAGATGCAGACAAAGCGAAAGGGAGTGATCTTTTTGTTCTTCCAGCCAAAGGGGTTCCTCCTGCTGATGCGTGTTCGGCTTATGTTCTTAGTCCGTTGTGCGCCTCCCTCTCCTCCTGAGGCTGAAGCTCTCGCCCTTTGCTCTAGTTGCGGACGTCACGCAGTACCCCTCGCTGAGATGCGGATCTTGGGGTGATGAGCCCTTTTGGGCCGTTACGTTCCTTACGTGTGATGTGGGGCTTCGTGGTTTTTTGTTTTTGAGGACAAAGCGCTATCATGGTTTTAGGATTTTAGGTCGAAGCGTACCCAGATGTGCTCCAGGGACGAAGTGTAATCGTCCTGCTCTGGCAGTGGCCGAAGCGATGTTACCTGAAGTGACCAGGCCGCTGCGTGTTTTCAGTTGTATCCTTTGAGACGAAGCGTTTACTGTTTCGAGTAAGCCGAAGCAATCTCTTTGTGTTGGGGCCGAAGCACATCTTGAGACGTAGCGTGCTTCCTGATGTTGAAGCCGTAGCGGTATTTGTTTCTAATTGTTTTTTCCTTTGTGTGTGGCCTTGTAGCCGATGAGTCCCCCAGTCCCCCACTCCATTGGCCGAAGAGTAACCGAGGCACAAGGGAGTAGAAGTGGTTTTTTGAGCCGAAGCGGTGCTTATACACTATTCGCGACTCCAACCCTTAGGCAAACCTGTCCAAGGTAACCCTGTGGGAGAACCCTTGGACGAAGGCCGCGATGCCAGGGTTATCATCAAACGATTTGTGCAAGTGACCGCAGCGGTACTATGGAAGATGGGACATTATGTAGCCGTAGTGAGGTTGCCTTGCCTTTTGAGTGATAAGGCCGATGCCCGCCCTTGTGTTGAGGGCTTGTTGGGCCGTAGTGGGTGGTTTGAGTAGGAATCTGAAAGGATGCCCTCTGATTGGCTTTTGGAGAGGCGGCCGTTGGAGTGGACAATTGGAGAGTGCCACGTGTAGATTGTTGGAGGGGGTGTTTATAAATACCCCTTGTTCCGAGGCCCTCCCCTCATTTGTGTTTTTGCCAAGTGTCGAATTGCTGCTCCTTCGTTTCTAGAGAGAGAAGCTCCCGAGGTTTCTCCAAGTGTTCTTCAGTTTTTGCCAGATCTTCAAATCATCAAGGTTAGGTTCTTAATTTGTTCTTCGTTTTTACCTTATACTTTGCTTCCTAGGGGGTTAGATCTAGTGTTTGTAGGAAAACTCACTTTGATCCGAAAACCGCCCTTAGGATTTAGGTTTAAGATGTTATGCCGTTTCCTAACGGCCGTAGCGTTCCCTCCCCCATTGACTTAAAAGCTTCGTTGGACGAAGAGGACTAGCCTTTCGACAAGGAAGATACATCCCCTCGGGTTGACCTAAGATTGGTGGAGGCCTTCGAGATTGAGATGGAAAACATTGCGGACTACCGTACTTCTGTGGACGAGGAGCGTCTGAGTGACGATGCGGGTTCCCAACCCTCAGATGAGGACGAAGCAAGTTCTGGCCCAAAGCTACGGTGGGACGAAGCAGGTGACGCCTCTTTGGCCGCTATTCCTTGTCCTCCGCCGATTTCGTCTGTCCCGGGTAACGCTTCGTCTGCTGGGGTAAGAGTAAAGAAAAATGGATCGCGCCGGCAGAAAGGCCATCCCGCCGGTCGCTCTCAGTTGGATTTGACCAACATATACCTTATTAAGTCAGAGTGTGTGCCAAGTGAGTACCAGGTCTCTCAATTGTATGTTTGTCTCTACGGCCGGGTCAGGGCCCCAAGGCTGACGGACCACGATCTGAATCCTCCTGACGGCTATTTTGGGGTTTATCCGATGGCATTCTCGAAAGGCCTGATGTTTCCGTTGCACCCCTTTGTGGTGGAGTACCTTAATATGGTAGACCTTCCTCCGGCCCTGCTAACCCCAAACAGCTACTCGCTTATCGTCGGCTTCTTGATTCGATGTGATGAGTTGAGGATCGAACCGACGGCGGCCCTTTTTACTAACCTGTATCGGATCGGACGGGGGAGCCATGAGAATTGTGCAGGCTATGCCGCCCTTCAGCAATTGCCCAAAAAGAGGAGCTTTACGGATCTCCCTTCATCTATTCATGGATGGAAGGGAAAGTTTGTGTTTGTGAAATTGGCCGGTGGGGTCTTCTTCCCCTCCAACGGCCACTTGGGTGGTTTCCAACTGCACGCCCCGCCAAGGAGTGTTGAAATAGATGCCCAAGTGGAGGTCTTTCTGAAAGGTGGGCCATGGAGCGTTGACAAATACATTACCGAGTACAAGATTGCTGCTCTGGGCATGATGAGGTATTTCATATCGGGCGATCCTGATTCCAGGTTATGGCCGAAGATGTCAGGCTACTATGAGCAAACCGACGGGCCCTATTTCGGTGTCCCGGCTGACGCCGAAGGTTTGCTCTACTTGTCCTTTGCATTTTTTTTTGTGTTTTTGTTTTGTTTTTGTGCCTAACTTTTTTGTTGCGTGTCTGCAGACTTTACGATGAGCCGGAAAATGTTCATGTCCCAAGCTAAGAAGCTTGCTGATAAGGAGATGCAGGCTGCAAAACAAGTCAAGGCGTCCC